TCGTGATGACTTCAAGTTAAAGGACCAATTGTACTCATCTTGTATGAGATTCTCATAAACTAAACCAAATGAGTTGTCATGGCGAGTTAATTCCAATAATATGTTCTCTAACATTAATCACCTAAGTGCTTGCTTTGGCATCACCATGCTAATATGTGTGAGATTTTCTATCGTTATCTTATAGCATGAGCCTAGCACTGCGAGTCTTACAAGATATAGTCAATGTTAATTTTTGATAATACTACGACTTGGGACATTTAATGATATCATTTAAAAGTATTAATGTTTATCTTACATCTTTCGATCATTCACAAATACAATGCATCTCGTATACACTTCTATATAATTCTATCAATAAATATAAATAACAAAAATTAATAGAAATTTTTCTTTTATAAAAAAAAATACAATATTATAATAAGTCAAATCATCCAATCAATGTTGGATCTTGAGCACCTACACTAACCTTCAATAAATGTCCATATAAATTTTTAATAATTTTTCACATCATGAAAGATCCAGGATAACACAATCGGTCGTATCATATAATAAAAGTATTTAAATTAGTAAACTTTTGATTTATCGTAGTATTTGTTTCAATCATTTGAATATTTGTAATAAAGATCAAAAGAGTAAAACAGGTAATTTCTTCAACATATATTTTCTACCCGATATAATTATTATAATATATAAATATTTGATATTCTCAATATTTGTTGTCTCAATATGATATCTATTTAGATAAATATTTTTTAAACTCAATAAATTTTATGAGACTTTGGAGACATTATTTATAAAAAAAAAAAAATTTCCCTTCGTGTAAAATACATTTGCCTTTTCAAAGCTTTCAAAATTTTCTATTCAAATAATAATATATTCGCTTTTCTAAAGCCTTCAAAATTTATCTATTCAAGTAATAATATAGTCGTTGTTCTAGAGTTTTCTATTAGATTGATAGTATTAAAATATAATATTAAAATAAAATAAATTATTAAATAAACATAATATATATATATATATATTATTCATAAATATAAATAAATAAATAGAAAAATAAATTTATATCCATCTCTATGCAATGGAAATTATAAGAAAATATGAAATATCTTGTTTATAAATAGAAAAAATAAAGTCAAATCATCTAATTAAGGTTGGATCTTGAGCACTTACACTAACATTTCAATAAATGTCCATATAAATTTTTAATAATTTTTCACATCATGAAAGATCCAAGATAACACAACCGATCATACCACATAATAAAAGTATTTAAATTAGTAAAATTTTGATTTATTAATAAAGATCGAAGAGAAAAATAGATAATTTCTTCAACATATATTTTCTACTCGATATAATTATTGTACTATATAAATATTTAATATTTTCAACATTTGTTGTTTCGATATGATATGTATTTAGATAAATATTTTTTAAGCTCAATAAATTTTATGGGACTTTGGAGAAAATAATACATTATTTATAATAAAAAAAATTTCCTTCGAGTAATAATATATTTGCATTTTCAAAGCTTTCAAAATATGTCCATTCAAGTAATAATATATTTACTTTTCTAGAGCCTTAAAAATTTATTTATTTAGGTAATAATATATTCGTTTTTCTGGAGCATTCTATTAGATTGATAGTATCAAAATATAATATTAAAATAAAATAATTAATTAAAAAATAAATATATATATTCTTCATGAATACAAATAAATAAATAGAAAAATAAATTTATTTATATCTCTATGCAATAGAAATTATAAGAAAATATGAAATATCTTATTTATAAATAAAAAAGATAACAAGTTATTAATTTTAATTATCATTGTTTTGATATATAAAATTGACCTCTATATTTTATTCTTTCTTTTCAATGTTGCTTGATAAAGCTCAGCGAGGTGTTTAACGTATGAGATATATGTAATCAATGTTCCTTTATGCGATACCAATAACATTCATTTTCAAAATTGTGGCTTAATTCACTTTTATTTTTATTTTTTTATTTTTCATATTTTGTCTACTTCGGTGGTAGATGCATTATTATGAACAAAACGATTATACAATAATTATTCAAATCATGATAATGGTTATGGCCAGGATCACATTTATGTTCAAAATTATCATAAGTTGTATTGTTCACTTAAGGGAATAGAATATAACCGAGTTGGACAACATTCATAATTTTTCATCAATAGCTTGTTATTTTGTTCATAAACATGGAATCAATTTAAAATCTTTTTCTCGATATTACTACCGTAGAAGCATATTTAAGACATGAAAAATAGAGAATATTTTCTTAGAATCAAACACTCATAATCAATAATTCTTGTTCAAAATATTAAGGGCCACAATATCAAATTTATGAGGTTTGATATGATAAAAATCCTATAATGCGATATATAATAATAATGTTAGAAAATAATAACAAACATAATGATAAAATTAGCTTTCCAAACAACATATGTTCGATTATTAGGTTCTATATATTAAATTATTCAAGTTTTTTAAATATATACTCTACATATCATTACATTTAAAGTAAATGATAAATTAGATACATAACTCTTGATGATGTAGATAATTTAGATTTTTTAGTAAAACACTTTTGTAGAAAAAATTCAATGATTGAAATAAATGGTTGAGTCTTTTGGTAGATAAATATCTCATTATCTATTATCTTCATTAGTTAAAGCTTCGTGTTAATAACATGTTATAAAAGAAATGATAATAATAATATAACCGACAAGAAAAATGACAAAGAACTCCAAATAAAGTGAATATGGATGATAAAAACTCTAAATAATTATCTCAATCTCTACCAAATACATCTACACAAAACAATAAACAATCAAGTTTAATTATAAGCTTCAAGATTAAGAAGAGACTATGAACAAGTAAAGGTGAATAAACAATTGAATTAATTTGCATAATCCTTTTAATTTCTCATATTGAAAGGTAAATTGAATCACATTAAGAATAATGAGTAGTGAAATTATAAAATAGATATTCATTATTTCATAACATCAACTATATTTTTTTACATTTTTAAAAACTTTTAAATCTTAATAATTAGTTTTTCATGATTTGAAACTATTATCTTACATCATGTCCGTTTTTTAATCGATGAAGATCTATCTTTTTTTTAATAAAAACTTTCCAAACATTTTGTTCTATAAAATTTTACGCACAAATTATTTAAGAACGTGATTTGAAATCAATATCTTTCAACGTTTTAAGTTAATTTTGTACCATTTATGTCAATTATTGTGGATACAATTGTGCTTATTAATGAGTTGTTTTCTTTTTTAAAAAAAAGTATATTTCATAAGAAATTTGGTATTCTTTGTTAAATTATTTAAAGTTTTTAAACAAAAGACTTAATTTAGAATTTTCGAAACTTATGAGTCCATCGAAATAAAAGAAAATAATAATAAAAACTTTGGGGCTAAATCTTTCTTATTAATTTTAACCGATCTGATTGAAAATGTACGAAGAAAACAAGAAGTTTGTACTCGATTTGTCCTTTGTAGATCAAAATACGTCTTTTCTCACTGTCCTCTCCCCCTTCAACCTAAATTTGGAGCCACTTGTGTGCTTACCTTTTTTTTTTCGACTTTCCTAACAACAACTACTATCACTCACTCATTGGCTTTTTTAACCTCTCTAGTTCTCTGCTCAAGTCCACCGCGCACCAAAAAGCAAGTGCCCATCACGCACTGCCCTGCCAGATTAATAATATGGAACCAACCATCAACGTCAGTGATTGCTTTGCTGAGGCAGCGGCTTCGTGTACTGATTTTTCGTGCGGATAAGAGTAAATTATATGTTAATCCTCTTAGTTTTGGTAAATAAATTAATTAATCTTATTTGTTTTAAAAAGTAAGTCTTTAATAATACTTAATTTAATATAATTTTATTTTATAAAATATTTTTTCTCATCAATCTTTCTATATTTATTTTTTTCTATTAATTAAAAAAAATAGAAAATAATATTAAATAGACAAAAGGAGCTAAATAATTAAATTTGAGAATGAAAGTACTCATTGATTTATTTCTCAAAACTAGAGGGACTAATTTATAATTTACTCAGTTGATAATTGCGGGGTGCGTGACAATCACGAGCAGCCTTTCAACTAAGTCGGCACCCATTTTTATTTTTCTGTCCAGGTAATTATAGTGTCAGCGTCTCCTCGTCATAACACAGAGCTGGCAGCAACAAACACGAGTTTCATCAGTTTCAGTCTTTTTTTCCATCTTCCTTTCAATTCCTTCCGACTTCTACCCTTTTCACCTTGTTATTTCAGCATCGGCATAGCAATCAAAACCATTCAATTTGCTGCTGTTATTGTGCCAAAAACGCAGGTACTTTACTTACACCTAATCCCCTCGAGAGATTACTCAAACAGAACCTGAAAAAATGTATGCTACTACTGCTGCTGCTATTTAGCTACAGAGGAAACCTACAAAAGTTTTCTCTGTGACATGAGGTACCAAGTAAATGATGAATATATTTGAAACTGGAAGGACGGTGGAAATGAAAAATTAGAAAAGTAGTTAAGCCTGATTAAATATTTGCAAATATAACTAATAAAGCTTATTAACAATCGATCATGGTCTCATCACTAGAAAGTTTGCTGTGTTTTTTGTTTAAGCTTGTTTTCCTTGTTCACAAATTGATTTGTGGACATAGAAGATGTTGATGAGATGATCAATAGATGAAAGAAACAGAAACAATCGAAGAAATTGATCTTAATTAATAACAAGCTAAAAGCCCTTTCTACTTTCTGTTCGTTCCATAAGAAGAAAGCGCAAACAAATCGAGACAATCAAGAAGCTTCATCGTGAATAGAAGCTAACTTAAGATTAATCCTACAAAAAAAAAAAAAGGGTTCATTCCTCCTGCATGGTTCCTTTTCTTGGTTTTAATCACTAGATGAAATAATAAAGGCCTATCATATATATATATAACTATCATCCCTCGCTAGCTAGCTGCCAGTTTAGCTGCTCTTTCTTGGTTTGCTTTTTCTCCTTCTGCTTTTCCTTGGAGGCTCCCTGATAACTTCAGATTTTTCCTCTTCTTTCTTTGTGCCTCTCGTAGAAGCCGATGGTTCTTCTACTTCTACCTGTTGTTGTTCTTCTTCTTCTTGGCTGAATTTAACTTTCTTTGAGTGGCTCCCAATAACCTGTTCAGTTGCCTGCGTTCCTTCTGCTATTGATTCTTCTCTTTTCACTTCACTTTCAATCTTTTCAATAATCTTGCGCGGTCTACCTCTCTTTCTAGGAGTTTGTGGCTGTTGCTGGGTCTCATCTCCTGTAATCGAAGCTTCTGCTATTGCCACTGAAAGCTCCTTCGTTTTCTGAGGCTTCTTATTCTTACCCATCAACCTTAATAATCTTGCTCTGTCAATAATGATCTCTTGCAAACCAAAACAACAACACCCCAGATTATTTTTTAACAAAACATCAACAACAAAAATCAATTCTAGCTCTGCAGACCCTTTTGCCTCTTCCTTCTAATCAAAGAAACCAAGCTCTATCTCCGTCTTTCTTTTTCTCTCTGAAAGATCTTAAAAGCAGCTGGACTGATATCTTTGACCCGATTACGGAAACCAATTAATACCATATCTCTCTCTCTCTCTCGACTAAATTAAACAAAAACTAGTAGAACATATAAACAAAATCTCATGAAAAAGGCACTAGCTAGCTAGTTAAAATCATCTTTCGTTTTCTTTTCTTCCTTCTAATGTATATCCCAATCCCTATCCCTCTATATACATGTAAGCTATTTCTTTTTATTTTTTATTTTATTTTATTTTTATTTTTATTTTTATTTTTTGCAGGAAAAAATACAACAACTTGGAGGAAATGGGGTCGAAAGGGGTAGTGCTAGAAGCAATGAGAACCTATTAAGGAGATGGCTAAGATACAAAGGCTAGGTAGCTAGCTTCTTTATATATCCAATATCTATCCAGAAAATAAGAAATAAAATAAAACATGTTGGATTTTTTTCGTGGGTTAGATTTCTCTTGGTACTGCTACTGTATCATTCCGACACAGACCACTTGTGTAGTTGTGTTTCTTCGCGGGTTTTAGGTCTTTCTGGCTTTGATTTGCTGCTCTTCTGTCGTTTCTATTCGTTAAATATTAGCCGTTTGATACGTTTTTTTTCCTTCCCCATTTCTCTATCTCCATCTCTATCTCATATCTGAGATAGAATTAATCTTATTAGGAATGAAAACGATAAAATTTAAATTCTTTCAATTACTACAATTTTAAGATTGAAAACTTTGTATAATGACAAAAAAATTTATTTGATAACAAATTCGTTTATCATTGAACTGACAACTAGTTAATTTACATTATCTTTTATATATATAGCTTTTTAAAACTAAAATTGAACACTACAAATCAAAATCAAGCCCATAGTTTTAATTTCTTCAATTTTTTTTATAGCTAATGCTCAAATTATGATCAAATGAAATTAGAGTATTTGCTCGATCTATCAATTTTTACCTTCGATAAAAAATGCACAATACTCAAAAATAAATTGAAACAAAATGTTACATGTGACAACAAGATAATGTAAAAAGGTTCCTCTCGTTTCTATATGTCTTTCTTCGGTTGAGTACAAGTAATATATGCATACAAAGAGAAAACCTAGGAGAGCTAATAAAGGAAATACAATTTCTATACTTAACATTACATTTAACACTAGAATGAAGGGATTTAGAGACAAACTACTCCTATAATTTTGGTCCTTAATAATAGCTCATGCCAACACTCCCTCTTAAGTTGATGCATATATGTATAAAAAGCCTAACTTGTCAAGTGAGTCGTAGAAGTTTTTGCTAGAGACAACCTTAGTGAGTATATCCGTCGACGGATCTTCAAATTTAATAAATGAAAACTTGATTGCTTTATCTTTAAGATTCTATTTGATAAAATGCATGTCCACTTCGACATGTTTGGTACGATTGTGTTGGACTAGATTATAAGAGATATCGATGGTTGTCTTGTTATCACGGAATAGGTTCATTTCATTACTAGGAGCAAAACCAATCTTGGTGAGCAACCTTTTTAACCAAAAAATTTCACAAAGACCATTGGTTATTCCTTTGAACTCTGCTTTAGCATTAGATAATGTGACTACTTTTTGCTTCTTGCTTCTCCATGTAATAAGATTACCTTATAAAAATGTAAAGTAGCCGTAGGTAGACTTCCTCTTTGAAAAACTCCCTACCCAATTTGTATTTTTCTAGCCTTCAACCATGTAGGTGATTATTTTTAGAGAACATAAGACCTTTTCCAGAAAAGGACTTCAAATATCGAAGAATTCTAATTACTACATCCATATGATATTCACTAAGGCAATGCATAAACTAATTTACTACACTTACAACATAGGTAATATCTAGATGTGTATGTGATAAATAAATGAGTTTTCCAACCAACCTTTGGTACTTTTCTTTATTAGTTGATGCGTGATCCGAGTACTCTCTTAGTTTATGATTTTAAACAATTGGAGTATCAATTAGTTTACTATCTAACAATTTCACTTTTAATAGTAAATCTAGCACATATTTTCTTTGAAAAAGAAATATGTCTTGCCTTGATCTTGCTACCTCTATTCCTAAAAAATAATTTGAGTATTTTAAGGTTTTCTTTATCTTAATTTTTATTACTAATTGCTTTTGAAGTCTAGAGATCTCTTCCCAATCATCTCCTAGTATGATCATGTTATCCATATAAACTATTAGTGTCGTTACCTTTTCCTAATTTGTGTTTTAGGAACAAGGTATGGTATTAGTTGCTATGTTGGAAGCCATACTTCTTCATAGCTAGGCCGAATCTCTCAAACCACGCCCATAGTGATTGTTTTAGTCCATACAAAGCTCATTGTAACTTACACACAACCTTAGCCTTTGAAGATGCCATATATCCCGGTAGGATATCCATGTAGACCTCCTCCTCAAAGTAATCATGAAAAAAGGCATTCTTCACATCAAATTGATGCAGTAGCCAATCCAAATTTTAAGAGATAACAACACTCTTGTTAGTATTTAATTTTACCACTAGTAAGAAAGTCTCCCGATAGCCTATGCCATATGTTTGTGTATATCCCTTTGCCACAAAGCCTTACCTCGTACCTGTTAATGGATCCATCCGTCTTGTGTTTAATGGAGAAGACCCACTTGTAACCTACTAACTTCTTTTTTTCGATAGTGAAACAAAGATCCATGTTTTATTCTTCTACAATTCTTCCTCTATAACTTTAGCCCACCTCCGATCCATCCTTAAGGGTTTATTGTACAAAAGCTTTGAGGAGGCTCGATAGATTACATAGTTAACAATTAGGTACCTTGATATTCTTTCCTCAAACTCGGAGAGTATCTATTTGGTGGCTTACCATAGTTCTATTTGAAAGGTAAAACATAACCAGCAGAGGTATCCAAGTTATCTATAGAAGGAGAAGATGTAGTAAGAGTTCTTACCTTAGGAATATTCTCGGGAGAGAGGACTTTAGGTACTTGGAGAGTGGGGGGATTTATTTTCATATTCAAATGGCATGGATTTAGCTCTTGAGGAATGCATATCAATATCAACATCATTATTACCATGTCTATGAGTGGCATCTTCATACTATGCTAACTCTAACTTTTCTTCAAAGTGTGCTAATTTTGGCTATTCAAAGTCCATCTAATTCCGCACTTCATCTTGTTTCTCCCCCTAAAGAGGTAAATTGGATGTTGATGGTGCAAAAAAAGTTATATGTCTCAAAAAATATAACATCTATAGTTATATAAGTACATTTGATGATAGGATCATAGCAACGATAAGACTTATGATGTAAGCCATATGCCAAAAAATACAATGAATGGCACAAGGGTCTAGTTTAGTTTGTTGATTTTTATGGAGGTGAACAAATACAACACATCCAAACACCTAAGGAGAAATCAACAAGGCAGATGGACAATGAAACATGATGAGAGAGTACCCGTAATGAAGTTTGAAAGTTTAAAACTTTCTAAAGCATTCGATTTACTAAGTATACTTGCTATGGTAATAGTATCATCCTAGTACTTACTAGGCACATGTGCCCCAATCAACAATGCTTGGAGTATCTCTAAGATGTGTCGGTTCTTCCTTTCCGTAACACCATTTTATTGTGGTGTTTGAGAGCATGAAGTTTCATGTAAAAGATCATGACTTTGGATGTAAACTTGAAATTGGTGATTAACATATTCTCCACCATTATCAAAATGAAAAATTTGAATCTTTGCTAAAAATTGGGTCTAGATTATAGTAAGAAAAGATTTGAAGACACTAAATACATCGACTTTATGTTTTAGTAGGTACAACCATATCATTCGAGTGTAGTCATCTACAACTATAACAACCTAACGAATACCATAAGAAGTAGTGATCGAGGAGGGTCCTCATACATTTGAATGTATTAAAGTAAAAGGAATATCACTTTTATTAAAACTTCTTGGAAAAGAAACTCTATGACTCTTTGCAAGAATGCAAGTATCACATTTAAAGTCTAAATTTTGTAATTTTGAAAACAAATCTAGAAACAAATGCCTCAATAACTGAATTACGGATGCCCCAAACGATGATGCCATAGCCAAATCTATCTCACCTTAACACTAGTCGCATGTTGTACATTGTTTGCTCTAATCGGAATGAAGTCATCCAAATAGTACAATCCCCCTTCTTAGTATTATGCCCAATGATCTCTTTCATGAGAATATCCCGAAGAAGATAGAAAGTAAGGTTCATGAGTGCCAAATAATTTAGTTATATGGTAACCTAGCTCATATACATTAATTTATTTGAGAGGAATGGAAATATTAGAGCATAGGATTAGGAAATAGAGGGTGATAAATTCACTATGCCGACCCTTGTAATCGGATTTATGACACCGTTGGCATTAACAATACTTGTTCGCCTTAGTTAAGTGACATTTGAAAAATCATTAAAATCATATGTCATATGGTTAGTTGAACTCGAGTCGATTATCCGAGTCATTATCTATATTTTTTGTTAGAGCAAAATAATACATTATCGTAGTTACTTTGATTCTCTAGATTCATAGAGTCATGTGAAGATTTTACTTGTGGAGTGAGAGATAATTTAGCTTTATTAGTTGCTGGAGCTACTTTACCCAAGCCTCCGTGAGAAGTAATAGCTTTACGGTGTTTTTATCCCTTAAGTTCATGCTATCGATCCGGATACCCATGTAACTTAAAGCAAATTTCATAGATATATTTCGATTTCTATAATGAGTACGTCCTCCTCTTTCTAATTGACCCTTATCCTTAGAGGCTATATTTAATCTCCCATAATCTGTGGGGAAGACCTTGTTTTGAAGAATGAG